TAGTCATTGTGATGGATAAAGAGTGGGTAATGCATGAACTTTGCTGGATTTGGAGTTGATCTGAACAGGACGATGGAAAAAGTAGATCGTGTGAGGATTGAAGAACGGATTGAGACCTCCTTGTCTCTTTAGTTTCTTGAATGGTAGGCTTGTTGCTTTTGCCGATTTTCTTAGTTTTCCGCTCCAAACAATCAGTGGTGCGAACCATGCTAAGAATGTGGAGAAGCAATCTCTTCGGTTTTGTACAGCGTTGACGTACTGGTAAAGCCATTGGATATCAAAGGTGATTCCGATGGTGTAGACTGAGCAGAGGTACCAGAGGAAACATAGAACTTCTTCCGGCATTGCTGTATTCTCGATCCTGTAGAGATGTGCGAACGGGTGATCAGGGTGAATACCCATTGGTGCAATGAAGTGGCAGTTGATTCCGCATTTGGATAGGATGATGGACTGGTATTTGAAAATCCTGTGTTGAAAATGCTCATGCAGAGTCCTCTTGTCGACGAGCTGGTGAGCGTCGAGAGGCATGTTTGCGTCGAAGTCATAGTATTGATTTTCCGAACTTGAGGAAGCTGAGGCGTTTGTCATCATATGAACTTCTTTAGGAGGGTTTCTACTGAGCATGTCAGCAAGAGTGTTCTTCGCACCCTTTAAATAGAAGGATTTGAAGTCGTACTTCGAAAACCATTCGCTCCAGCGCAATAATTGTTGATGTGGGACCATCTTCTGCTTGAATTGTAACATCTTTGGAAAAGAAGACATATCCATTTTGATGCGAAATTTATGTCCTATCAGATGAAACTCGAATTTCTCGATAGCCTTTTTGACCGCTAGGATTTCTTTGAATGTAGAGTGATAATGCATCTCGGAATCTTTAAAGCGTCCGCTCTTGTATCCACAGATTTGACGTTTACCATTTATTTCTTCGAATAAAATGGCTCCCCAATATTTGTCACTTGCGCCAGTCTGCAGTATTCGTAGGCCAGTAGAGGGAATCTTTAAAGGTGGTAGCTTCTGTATCTCCTTTTTTAGGCTTTTGACTGCTTCGGTTTGTTTGGTAGCCCACGTGGATGGATTCTTTGTCAACATCTTCTGGAGTGGTCTAGTCATTTGCGAAAGTTGCGGAATAAAGTCGCTGATGTAATTAATTACCCCAAGGAATTGTTGCACTTGTCTCTGCGTGAGATTTTCGTCGGGAAAATCGAGGAGTGCTGTAGCTAAATGGGCTTGCGGTGTGAATTTTCCTTCTGTGATTTGCATTCCAAGGAAGTCGATGTTGGGCTGGGCTATTATCATCTTTCGGGCCGAGAGCATAATTCCATATTCTTCAACTATGCTTTGAAATTGTCGGAGAGACCGAATATGCTCTTCTTCGCTTGTTAAGAATAACAGAATATCGTCGATGTATATTAAAGCCGTGTGGAGAAGAGGCTTAAATATACGAAGAGGCTTAAATATACGAAGCATCGCTCGTCGATGTACATTCTTCATTTGCTTGTGTCAATAATGTTGGTGGCATGCCTGCGTGACTTGCTTTTGTCAGAGTGGTATGGACATTCTCCTTGAAAGGTAGAGAGACGAAGAATTCTGAATTCAGCCATAACGGTTTGTCACATTTTTGAAGGAATTCTGTGTGAGAGTCTGCACATGAGACTATTGCGATCTCTTCTTTGATTTTCTCGAAATCTTGAGATATGACTCCTTCGACCGTGAATAGACGTGGGATTGTTGTAAAAGCTTTGTAGAAAGCCTTCCATCTCATTCCTCGTGTCTCAATAGATATATCAAAATTCTTCTTGAAGGTGTGATAGGAATCTTATCCTAATATCAAATCTTTTCCTGGTGCTGAGGATCCAAGCACTTCTGTCGTAATCTGACAGCCTGGGAAAAGTTCGATCGTCACCGGTTTGGATTTGAGATTGACCGTCAATGAACCCGAGTTTGCTACTCGAAATTCTTGTTGATGTGGTAGCCATATAGAAGTCGGGAGAATTTTAGGATTCCTTATCGTCGTATATGCTCCTGTGTCGATGAACGCAATTGCATGAACTGGCTTCTCCTTTTGTGATGGATCAAAGATCGTAACTGGCAGATGTGGTGTTTGAATTTCTTCTTTTTGCGGCATACGAGTGATTTTAAAACAGCAGTCGTTATTGACTTCTTCTTCTGAGGAGGAGGAGTCGGATGAGTAGTCATAATCCGAGTAGCCACATATGGCATCTTGTTCATCACTATCATAGGATAGTACTGATTCTAGATCGTGGTTGTCGAAATCGAGGTCTGGTGCGATCTTCGAGATTGAGCTGATTAAGTACTGCTTCTTTTTCTTCGACTTGTTTGGGCAGTTTTTTGCGAAGTGACCTTCTTTGCGACATAGGAAACACTTCGTTGTTTTCTTGAAGCTTCGTTTCTTTCTGAAAAATCGTTTGCGTCTGAATTGGTTGAAACGCTTGTTGAGAAGGCTGTGTTTGCGGCATCTTTGTGGCTGTTTGAGCAGTAGAAGTCTGTCCAATAGTATCCAACAGACTAGCCATAGAGAATTCAATTAAACCAATTTCTTTTCCTTCTCTTTTTGAATCTTCCACTGATTCATGGCTTGACGAAGAAGTAAGTGTTGGTCGTTTGGTAGGATTGACCATAAACTCGGAATCCTTCTGTCGTCTTGGTTTTGATTTTGACACCTTTGGCTTGCTAGCTGAGGTCATGCCATATCTTGACGTAAAGGCTTCGTCAGATGATAGGAATCCGGGGACCGGTGTTTTTGGTCTTTGATTCGTATAGCTGGAGAGAAATCCTGGGGAGTAGGTGCCTTGGTACATAGGCATTCCACCAAAAGGATTGGAATAAGAACTCGTAGGATTCTGATTGTAAATCATACTCTCGAGGCTTCTTTGAAGATCTTTTAACTGGGCTTTGAGACTGGCTGTTTCTGCTTCTTTATGACGGAATTGTGCTGTATTGACCATCATATTTTGTGCCATAGCCATCATTTCTTGATGAAGATTGTTAAGCCGGCCATGGATCTCTGTTATTGAGCTCTGAAGGCGAGTTTGCCTTTTGATGTAATTTTCCATCAGCTGATCAACCTTGTAATTTATTGTTTTGAGGAGTTGATTTTGAGCGATGGCATTCTCAGTTTGCCAGTTGAGGACCTTTTCTCCTTGGCTTAGCTGATCTGGTCCAGAAGAGTTGATTGCTCGAGTGAGTATCTTCGGGCTATGCGCGATGTTGTCCTTGGTAAAGTCGCTTGAAGGAGGGAAGTCTTCGGTGTTGATCATCATGATTTGATTTTCATCTTTCTTTTCCGAATATTGGACTATAAAGTCGTATCGCCCGTTACCTTCACCGAGAGGACCGACGGTGGGATCTCCTTCTAGATATCTTTTGTAGAGTGGATCCTTTTTCTTTCTTCTCCTTGTGCGAATCTCGTCATCAGATTCGTACATGGCTTCTTCACATACTGAGCAGGAACAGATATCGAAATATTGATGGCCATCTTCATCTTTGAAAGGATATAGTACCGATCTGTTTTGTCCAAAAGAGATTGGTTTAGGATTTTGTTCTTTGCTAGGCTATAGAATTCGCTTTCGTTAATTTGGATAGCAAATTGAGTGAACAATTGTGCGGAATGAGGATGATCTTGGTTTTTCGAACTTGATTTCGGTTGTACCATCATTTCGTGAATGAAAGCTGACTTCAGAGGATTGAATCGGTGTTTGAATCGGTGTTTGAACCGCTTGATGCAGCTTCTCGTAGCTGGTGATCCATGATTCTGGTAGTCGGCGGAGCAGCTCTTCGCGAGATATTTGACGAGGAATCTGGATGGAGTTTGGTGCTTGAGATGCTGAAGTGACTTCTAGGAAAAGTGCTTCATCAGAAGAGGGTAGTACAAGATCTAAGGCATGATCTTGGATTCGGTAGACTATCTGATGATGAAGGGTCGCCACGACACTTTTCTCTTGCATAGGAGCTCCGGTGAGCTGAAGTTGGACCTTGAGTGTCTTCAGAAGATTTGGATCTTGTAGCGAGACATTAAAGTTTGGAAACAGTGTCACGAATACTGTTCCGGCGTTTAATGTTGTTTGGACTGTTCCGATGCAAGCTTGTTGGTAGGATTTCAGTCTTGAATCGACCAAGGCGATTTTTGCTACAACAGGTAGACCTTTTTGAGCATGTAAGGTCAAACCGATCCGGACTACACCAAAGTGTAGGTGAGTATATCCTTGTTGTTGCCATCACCTAGGAAGGTTCTCCGGTATGTTGAGCGAGATGAATTGTTCTTCTTCGGTTGCTGGGACTTGACAGGATGAGAATTTGCTGGACTGGACATATTCCATGACTTTTCGATTGAAAGATGGCTTGATGAGTTCTCGAACACCTTTAACCGAGAAAGCACTAGGCTTTTTGGCAAAGTATTCATATGGATTAACAAGAGGGAGTGTGGTTTCGGGTAGCTGATCTCCAGGGACGTATTCAATTTCGTAGAGAGAATTGATGCTAGATGAGGAAGAACGGCTTTTTGATTTTGGTAAAGTGGAAATTGCAAACGGAGAATCGATGGTTGGAGGATTCGGATTTGAAATTGACATGATTAAGGAATCGTTTTCCAGAACATTCACAGCAATCATTCATAAACAATGATTCATTCAATCATAACATGAGTCGAAGCTCTGATACCATAATACACTAGAAGAGACTAGCGGAGAGTCGTATTGACTAAGCTAAGGCTCGCAGAATGTCGTATTGACTAAGTCGGTTTAACAGACGAGGGTCAGTTCCAGGTAAAGGGAGTTTAACGGGCACTTCCGACCTCTGAGTACTCAACCATTGTTAGGAATTTTCAACCCACGACTGTCTTTTGACTGTCGTATTGACAGACCACAAGACTTGACCGTCGTATTGACAGACCACTAGACTCTGATAAGCCTAGAAGCTCATCAAGGCTTGGACCAGAGTAAGAAAACAAATGATACTTTGTTCAAAGTTTGATTACCCAAGCGTTATTTAAACATACACAATGCCTTTTAGACCACTTTAGAGTTTAACAATTTTTGAAACCACACCAAACCTACACTGATTTTGATCCAATGTGAACACCATACAAGTAAAAATATATACACACACGGTACAAACTCACAAGCATCTTTTGTATGTTTTGTAGCATTTTGAGACTTGTCATATAACACAACGATATGTACATGCCAACAACAACAATCATTCATCTCACATATATGCATTATGCACTTCTTTCAATTCACTTTACTTATGTTTCACCTTAAACTCATCATAGACCACTGGTTCATACCCACCACCGATGATGGAAGTGCTGGACGGATTATGGGCACACGTTTCACTAATGAGATCGCTTCGTTCAACCGAGCAGCATGATTCGCCACCTTCTGAAAAATAGTTCATTCAAAAGAGAGACAAAACAAGAAGAATCAGATGGTGTAAAAGTTTATCAAAACTGTAAATGAAATAGTCAACTTTTGTTCTTTATTTTCATATAAGTGAAAAAGATGGTAAATTCAAGCAAGAACATGAATCTCAGCAGCAAAAGATCCGCCATGTTATTTGCAAGAGTAAGCAGCAGGAATCAAATTTATGTCCTTATTGATGCTTTGCACCACCGGAAGACCGGTTAAGCTACCACTGCTGGTTTCGACACACTTTTCAATCTTTTTTTGTAGAAACATAATATGTAAAAGCCGAAATATATGACTACGAACCAAACATGAAAATGCCACTAAGAAGAACCACAACTAGTCTTAAGGACTTTTCAACTAACCAAAAGAAATTGAAGAACTCAAATGTAAGAAAATATAACCACAGAGAGATGGATCACTCAGGTGGCTTTCGAATGACTATTAGCCTTGCTCTCTCACCAATTACACTTTTCCTTCTACATATTAAAAGCATCTCTATCAAGTACACAACCGGTGCTATATCAAAGAGCTAATGAAGGCCTAAAACATTTTCTTCATCAAAATTTTGTAAATGGAGTCAGTGAGCATAAATGCGTGCTGGTGAATACTATGACCATGGGTCGCTAGATGCATCAAAACAACTTAGGGAAGAGAAAACTCGCAATAGTAAACCAAAGAAAGAACTGGACGATGAACAGTTTAAATCAACCAACGACTGCAAAAGAAAGACACTCTGGTCATCTGATTTCATCATCAAATCAACAATGAAACTTATAAAACGTCTAAACTAAAACATCAAAAGATTAAACTATGCACAACAGGGGGCTCGACTCCAGCCAAGTTTGTTAGCCTCATGAATTTTGAGATACTTTAAGAACAAAAGACAATCAAAATAAACCGAGATAGTTACCTTATCATCGAGTAGAACCTTAAGCTGCAAGGTACGGCTCTTCTTCTTCATATTATACAATCTACGCCCTAACATAACAAAACCCACCACTGCTGCTGCCATGGAGAAAGACCAAATAGGGTTAACTTTGAAAACACAACACTTCAAAACTTCTATCGGAATTCTCCACCAAACAAATCCCCTTTCTCCTCCACCACCACCAGATTCAACAGATGAATCAATAGAAATACACTTTCCTGATTCCTCTTCTCCCTCCGTATCGATTCTTTCATCAGAGCTCAGCAATTCCATTTCTCCACTCGAACCCAACCAATCTTCCTCAAGATGCTTCTCTTTGGCTATATTTTCGCTGTATTCCTCTGAAATCTCTAAACCCAGATCATCATCACCGGCTAACCTCTGATCATCGAGCCGATCGCTGCTCGTATCCGACCATAGCTCGCTAAAGTGCTTCGGGCCATAAGGAGCGTCGGAGCGAGGCTCGATCCAGCCTGGACTATCCGATTGAACAGATCCATCTTCATCGATCGCATCCACACGACACATACCGTTATTATTCTCGAGAGAGAAGTAATCGAAGGTTACCATACCTCGCGTGCCATCTTCATCACCAATCTCCTCCAAGCTCTTCGATTTGTAATCCTCCTGGGTCGTAGTAGTAACTCTCTGAAGCACCACTTCCCAGTCTTCTTGAAGCTGTCCTTCCATGTCAGAACAGTTAATTAGGGTTTCTTCGATCCTCTAAAGTAGGAGCTAAAGGAGAAGGCTTTTGTATGAGATGGATCGGAGAAAACAATCGTTCTTGGGTGATGATGACGTGGCATGGTGTAATTGGATAGAGGATAGAGTCTAAAAGAGAGATTGATTGTGTACGTTATTTACGGTGGGGTGAGAAGTACGGTACCACTACCCGCTTTTTTTCTTATGATTGAGATATGCTCAAACTTGGAAAATGAACGGACACGAAATGGACACGTCGATGGATGCGGACACGTCGACTTCAAACATCGACCGATATAAGAGCATTTGCAATGGTTGCCTCTATATTTTATTCTAAAAATAGAGTTCTATATAAATAAAGAAGGGATTACTGCAATGGTTGCCTCTATATTTGACTGTAAATCTTATTATTAATTGCTTACAAATCCTTTTACTTTTAAATGTTTTAAAAAATTCTTACTTATTTTAATTTTAACAATAATTTAACATAATTATATTTTAAATTTTTTTATTTATTATATTTAGTTGTTTTATTTTTAATCTTTTAAATGATTATATAACTAATTATTATTAATATAGTTTAATTAAGTATAATATTATGTGGTATCTTATTGTTTAAGTGTCAAATAAAAAGATATGAAAGTTTAAAGATTGTTTTGTAAATAAAAAAGTTATACTCTATAAATAGAGAAATGAACAGTATTTCTCTAAATATAGAGATATACTGTTCATTTCTCTATTTATAGAGTAAGATATAGAGTACCAATGCAGATGATTTTACTCTAAAAATAAAGTTTAGAGGCAAAAATAGAATACCATTGCAGATGCTCTAAGCTTATTTAATACGTTATCCAAAACAAAATTTGTTATACATAGATCATTATCAAACAAAATTTGTTAATACATAGATCATTATCAAATTTGTTAATATATTGTTAAGGTCGATATTGTTTTTTTTTCCTCAAACTAATAATATATCACATGTGACTAGTCGGAATGTTGATCCATGGACCATCTTTAACTAATTCTGTATGACTGACGTAGAAAAGTAATAAACTCGTGTTCAAGCTCTTTTTTCAAAATTATCAGTCCGGATATTTAGACACCTGGGAACAGGAATATGAGATAGTGTAAACTTTGTATAAATTTTCTGAAGGATACAGAAAGATTTCGGTTATGATATAAAAGACGGCTAGTTCCCTGGAGTTTTGGTCATGCTAACATCATCTCTTTCTAAATAAACCATAAAATCCAAGGATATGCATCATTTTGTGCATCTGTCATCATATTTTGGTAAATAGAGATACTCGGAAAGAGGCCCGAAAGAGACGGAAAATCCGATAGCGCATGTAATACTGGGGGACATCAAAACAGGAGATGGTTTATGGACTCTTCAGGGTCTCCACATCGAGGGCATCTCATGTAAGAGCTCAAGTGTCTGAAGGTGAGATTCTGGCACGTTGCTACACATCCCGATAAGGTTTTGCCACTTGAAATTGTTTCATCTTTTCAGCCGTACGGACTTGCCATACCTGTCGCTGAAGGGCCCATAATGCTCGGTTCTCTCATTGTTCCAGCTTCTCTCCCTGACTTTTATCTTCTAATCAGATCATATCCCGATTTAACTAAGTATAAGCCCGATTTTGTATGATTCCATGCATAGCCAACCAATGTGTGGCTACGACTAGGTCTCAAACCAAATATAAGGATAATGTCCTCAGGTTGGAAAAATTCCCGTAAAAGAGGGACATCACATTCTTTCGTGTCCTGACGGATGAAGGTGTATACTGATAACTAAGATTTTTCAGGTCTTAGATGGGTTATCAATCCCCTTGTCAAAGTAGTATAAGGGGTGTCAATCCATATGTGTGGTAGTTAGGTACTAGTTTATGTGATAAGCTCTTAAGTCAAGTGATCAAAGATGAGTTTTGGTGTGAACAAAGTAACAAGAGAGCATAAAACAAGAAACAAACAAGCTATGATTAATGAACTAAGCGAGCAAACAAAACAAGATGATGATAAAGCAAATGATGAAAGATAAACCTCTAGATGTGATCATTGATTAGGGTGATGTAGATATCAATTCATGATGCTAAGAACAATAATGCAATGCAAGTTACTCTTTAGTCTAGACTTCAAAAGTAGATTAATTCATTCCCATGACAATAATCTCTTTGCTAATCACTTAATCAAGTCTAACAACCATTAGATATAATCAAGCAATCAACAAGCATAATGCCTCAAGCCTAATAAGTGACCAAACAATCTCTCAACCAAGAAGACTGAATCTTACACAGAAATACATAGCAAGCAATCACATGATCTCAAACATTTCAACTTAGAACTTTAATCTAGACTAATCCTCTCATGAAGGCATTAATCTCTACACTAATCCACTTTCAAACCAAATTCCCATTTGTGAAATATGAACTAATGACCATTAAGAAACAGTTCTAATATGTCATTTATGCAATTAACAAACATTCCCATGGCATTAATGCATAAACCCTTAGTTAGCTTTCATTCAGGCATTTCATCAAACACCTTGTGGGTGGAGATTTGCCTAAGCTCTAGACCAGAGTGATGTGCAAAGATCTAGCATTAGGAACAGCTAACTAAGGAAATGAAATGAGAATCTAGACCCTAAACATCATAAATCAAACATCTAAGCATCCTAATCTACACACCTAGAAGTTTATAAAGGAGACTACTCACTAATCATGATCAACACACTAGATCCTTTGCAAGATGTGTTGTTAATCATGATTAGAAGTGTGATTTGATGATGAGAAATGATAAAACAAGATGGAAAACACTCTTCAAATCGATATTACACTCAAAACAAGGTCTTAAACAATGGTTCTTTTACCAAAAAGGAAAGGAGACTAAGGATAAGATAAAAGTTCTCTCCAAATTAGGTCTAAAAAGTATTTATAGTGGTCTTGGACGAACCGGGTCAGCCTGGAACAAACCGGATACTGAACCGACTTTGGTGGGTAAAGATGAGGTTTGCCACGGTCTAGCAGTTCTTGGTCAAGCCATGGCAAGTGACCGTGTCAAGTCCCAAAGCTTCTGTTCTTGGATGAATCTTGGTGCCACGGGTTCCCTCTGGTCGTGATGCATGGCCGTGTCAAGTCCCGAAGCTCTGAAGGATCCCAAGTGTTGTCTTGCCACGGTCAAGTGTAGACCGTGGCGTGGAGACCCTGTCAAATGCCGAAGGATTGCATCAAGTGCCACAGTCAAATGTGGACCGTGGCAGTTCATCGTGACTTGGACCATTCATCTATTAGAACGCTTCAGAGGTTGCCACGGCCAAGTCTAAAGCCGTGGTGTGGAGACCGTATCAAACCCCGAAGAACTGCAATTAAGTGCCACGGTCAGATGTGGACCGTGGCATTCCACTGTGCCATCCTTACACTTAGCACAATTTCCACGCTCTTGGTGCTCGAAGGATATGTGTGTCTCTATCCTTCCGGAACTCACGCCTCACAACTCCAAATGGAACGATACAACTGTTTTGGAAAGAGGACTCAGTTATCTCAAATCTTGAGAAGGCCCTGTAGACTGAATCGGTCTGGAAATGCATCGTCCTTTGCAATCTTCGGAGCTCATCGGGTCGGTCTAAAATGGCAGCGAGACGGGCGTGCCTTCCGACGAGTCTGTTGGGGTCGGTTGCACCCCAAGCGGACAAAACCATCTTCATAACGACTAAGTGTTCGGGAGAGCCGAGCTATAGCGAAGAAGTACGAGAGTAGGCTGAATCCATGAAAGAAAGGAGAGTTGGGCCGAGCCGTCCCATGACTTTGGGTGTAGTTTGGGCCGAGCTGTGAGGGGGAATTGTGTGGACAGAGCTGCGTAACAGGTAGTCAAATGGGCCGGGCCGTACATAAGTGAAGATGGGCCGAGCCGTGGGAGAAGGAGAGAGGACCGAGCCGTTACCTGTCATGATTGGGCGAGCCATTATTCGTCGCAAATGGGCCGAGCCGATCCTTCCAAGATGGGCCGAACCAAAGTCTTGAAGGGAGAAAGCCCATAAAAACCCTAGGCGATGTCTTAAGGCGGTAGCCGCACGAAGTGATAAGGAAATATTCCTAAAATCTCTCTCGAGATTCTCGGCTAGGCGGTTTAAGGAGTTAGTATAAATATGAGATTTACACAATTCATTCTGTAACTTTTCACAACTCGAGAGCAATAAAGACCTAAACACTTTTCCAGCAAAAACCTTCTTTTGATCTTACTGTTCTTGCGATAAACCCTAGAAATTTTGGATCCCTTAAGTTTTCCTTAACAAGTTTTTGGTTGTGCGAGTTTTGGCTCACACAATTTGGCGCCGTCTGTGGGGACTCGAAACTTTCTTACTCTAAATCGACAAGACTTTAGATCCGGAGAACATGGCGAGCAACACCCTCGACGATAACAACAATAACGATAACGGTGCGGAGAAGGACGCTCTAGCATCAGGCACAACGACGGCGACGACCGAAACCCAAGAGGAGATGCGAAACATGATGGCTGCGTTGATTAAGAAAATCGACGAGCAGGACAAAAAAAACGAGGTGATTACAGAGAGGCTCGACGCGATGGCGGCTGAGCGACAACACCCAACTTGGAGAGCCAGAATTCCCGACCCGATGGATGGAATCCAGAGATGCTTCGACTTCTCAACGCCTGCATAGGCCTCGGGGAGCGGCGCGAGAAACCCCTTGGCTTCACCCATGTTTTGTCCTCTCGGCGAACAGACTCCCGCGGCAACCCGAGTCAACATGACCGAGCCGCCTCCACTCCGTCGGAACTCAAGGCGACGAGCCGGCGAAGAGGAGAATGACACGATTGACGTGGACGCCCAACAGAACGATGGAACCACGAACTCGCAACAAAACAGCTCGGCTCGGCGAATAAGCCAAGAAGAGCTCGCCTCGGCACTAAACGGCGTCCGGAGTGACGAAATCACTGATCCGGCTCGCGGCGACAACCCGACTGAAGAAGAGGAAAACCTCCAATGGATTGAGCAGGCAGAGCGCAAAGACGAGCCGAGGAGAGAAGCGCAGGAGCGACTACCCCAATCAAAGGTAAT